TGAATGGGAGACATCTCCTTGGGAGGTGGAAATCCATGGAAACAAGAATGGGACTGCGGTATGAGATCCCTGGAGTCAAGAAGTTGCACTCAGATACTGGGAATAAGCTGATCCACTTTATTCTTGGTGCAACAGAAGCTCGGGAGTAGCCTGCATAGCCAAAAAATTGGATCGAGCATTGGTTAATTATTGTCTTTATGTTAAAAAACTTTTTTCTATATTTGTTAGATGTATATTATAGTTTTCTTATAGTTGTTGTTTGTATATTTTAATTTTATTATAGTTGATTGGGTATTGTTTTATACCTAGCCAATTTTTTCACTTAATAAGAAAAGGCCCAACTCAAAACACTTATCTTGGAGAAAAAAAAAAAAATTGTTTAAATTAATATATATTAAAAACAATAGAACATCTTTAAAGATGATTGATTCATAAAAAATAAAAGCACTTCAAAATGTATTATTATGAAGAAAAAAAAATTAATATGTACATTTAGTTTAGCAACATACTTTCTATTACTCCAAACAATTAATGGAACAAGTTTTTCAACCTTACTGTAACCTAGTGTTCAACGCACAGCTTGAATTGTAATTTTAGGATTTTTTTCTTGAAGTCCAAAGTTTAAGTAAAATGCTAAAGTATTTTAATTAAACTTGGTCACAATTTTGGGCAATCAATTTAACTGATCAATAAATAGTATAGTTTTAATGAAACGTATGTGTGTATTTATACATATAATATAACCTTTTCAATTGAAGGCTATTATTTTATTGTCTTTTTGTTAAAGTTTCTTTTCTATTCTTGTTACATGTAAGTTATAATTTTGTTTTCTATTACGTAATAATAAAATTTTGCCATCACCCCTTATATGTAAAAGTCATTATAAAAATGAGTAGTATTCATATGATAATTTAATATCCATTACTTATTTTGAATTTCCATTAAGTAATTGATTGGAGTTGGTATTACTCCGTACAATGTATTGGATTTATTGTATACATGTGGACAAAATAATGCTATGTTTTTAACTTGTGCTGGTCACATCAGATTGGTTTCCGAACACAGCTCTGTTGCAGGTAAAGAACATGTTCTTTGTTCCCAAGAAAATAAATGTCACTTTTAGCTTACAAGGTTAAATAGCTAAAACTAAAAAGGATAATTTCACTTAGGTTAGGCGTAATGACATATGGTATTCTTAATGTTTCAAATATTACAGTAGCCTCCTTCAAGATTTACTCTGGCTTAACACTTTGCCCCTTTCGGTGGCGGTCAAGGCCGGTCAAGGATCGTTTTTTACTGATATCATCTTTTTTTAAAGGTGAAATATCACATTTACCCTTACAAAGATTGCAAAGACATTCATACTTTCATTTTTAATTGAAAATTACGAATTAACCTAATAATAAGGGGAAAAAAAAGTGTACTCTCTCTGATTCCTCTCTCTCTCTCTCCAAACTCTGACCGACCTTGAATGGTGGTTCCATGGTCCATCGTCCCACTAGTGTATGGTGCGCTTGATCACCGGCACTACCTCGCTGAAAGACTGCTTGGAATTCACTCCCCTTTCCATCGCCAATTTCAGATCAACGGTCTTCGTCGAGGGCTGCAATCACAGCTGTTTAATCTTTTGGATCCACGTCTGGACTGTCGCTGATGGGATAATCACCCAAGTCAGCGAGCTATGAATAACCCATCGGCGATGAGCAACGATGTGCTCACTTGACGGCAAGCAAGGATGTCAGTGACACGGCGGCGGTGAGGTTTGAATGGCAAACAAAAAGGATGAAACGACTTACCGATGCTTATCAGCGTGAGGTCTTGACGGCGAGCAAGCAGCGAGGAACGAAACGGCGGCAGCAATGGAGGATTGATCTACGGTCGGTGAGCATAATGGATGTAGAAAGAGAGAATGAGCCCGGTGACGCAAGACACCTCTGATCCGGTGATGAAGCGAACTGAAACGGCAGCGGCGATGCATGATCTCAACAGCGATACCGACCATCAGTAAGCAAGGACGCTGTCGTTGAACCATTGGCGGCGGTAACTTGTTGGTGAGGACTGCGACAAGCTTGGTTTTTTAGTTCTGTTATTGAATCTTATGTTTGTCTAACTCTCGAATGACGCACGTGTTGTTTGATGAAATGCTTCATCGGAATGTTGTTACTTGCACCACCGTCATTTACAGATCTCGTCTAAATCCGATTCCCTTTGTTGAGATTGCATATACATATATATAAATACACACACATTTACCATATATGTATAAAACTATATATGCGTTTTATGGTGATAGAAGTGTATGAGGTGAGATGTGATGGTATCGGCAGTGGCTATGGTGGTGCAGAGGTGGTCCGTTGTGACAAAAATGGAGGAAGTGTTGGGGTTTCAAAGTACAGATAAATAAGTAGGCAGACTAATGGATTCAACAATTGTGTTGTTCAGGTCTTGGACTAAAGGTTCATATGGATGGGATCGGGTATGGAAAAAATGAAAATTTTGTTCCCCGGTTTGTTTTTTTTTTTTTTTTTTTTTTTTTTTTCTTTGCGTCACCATTTTTTTCAAGTAGGGGTAGAATGGGTACTTTGTTAAAGGTTTTTTTAATTAATAAAATTAATTTAATAATAGAGGATAGTTTAGTCATTTAACATGAGGTTTCTATCGGAACTGACCTTAGTCACATTGAAGGGAGGTTACTATAATATTTGAAACGTTAGAGGTACCGCCTGTAATTACGCTTAACCTCAAGTAAAGTAAGTGAAATTATCCCTTCATAATTTTCTAATAACAAAAGACGAAGACAGAATAGTGATTGCGGAAGTATAAACAAAACAAACCGATCCACCCAACCCATAACATTACCACAGGCACAAAAAAAAAAACACAAAAAAAAGGTCTACAAATTGAACTTCTTTTTTTATTTACCGAAAAAAAGAATTTAACTTTTTTTCAGATTTCAAAACAATATTAGTTAGTAAACAGTACAGTCATTACATACCCGTTCACTTTTTTCTACCATATCAATTTTTTTGAGTTTCTAATATTCTTACTGTACAGTCATTATTCCCATTCCTATTGAAATTAAAATAGGACCAACTAATTAGCTGATGCAGTACAATCTTACTGTCTAAATTAATTACTTGCCGACCAGATTATACATGGCTAAAAAGTTTAGCAGAGAATCTTCAAATTTACTAAAGCAGAGAAGATTTTTCTCCACTATAATTCATATACCTCCCAACACTTCTGAACTTCTGATGCAACAGTTTTGATACATCTTTATTCCAATATAATTATCCTTGGCCAAATCGAGACATGAAACCATCTCTCTCATAATACAATATCACAAAACAATTAGTTATCAAAGCTCAAACTGAAATGTCATAATTCAAAACTGCATAGTTCATTTTGCATTAGTCTTGTAAGAAAAAGTAACTTTGCTGTTCAGAAAAAAGAGAAGGAACTAAAATAAAATAAAAAACTCCTTTCCAAGAATGAAAGATAACAAATTACTGACTAACCAAAAAAAAAAAAAAAAAAATAGAAACACTTTATGTAACCAAGAAAAAGTAACTTTGCTGTTCAGAAAAAAGAGAAGGAACTAAAATAAAATAAAAAACTCCTTTCCAAGAATGAAAGATAACAAATTACTGTGACTAACCAAAAAAAAAAAAAAAAAATAGAAACACTTTATGTAACCATTATTTACTGTGAAATAATTTTCCAAATAAAAGAAAAATAGAGCTAATACAAGAGCCTCTATTATTATGATGACCCCTTCTGAACCTTAAGTTCGTGTGGGATGCGCTTGCAAGTGAAAAGATTCTTGATTTATGGGCGGATCAGAGTGGATGGCTAGGAACGTGGTTATGGTACGAAGGGCCAGGCTTCTCAGTGATTGGATTCCTTCTATGGTTCCAATGACTCCCTTCGGCGACACCTCAGGTGGTCTAGCAGGAAGAGCAGCAAGGCCAAGAGCGAACGAAATAGGGCTTATGCTTTTCAATCATTTCTTCGCCAGTTCATTTTCTGATTCCCCTCACATTTGTTATTAAGTGCATTTTTATCTTCTCAACCCACAAAGATTTCAAAAAAAAAAAAACCAACAACAACAACTAATATGGTATTCCATGGTCAAACCAATAGGGATTACAGAAAACAAAATTCAAAAGAAAACAAAACTACAGCTCATGGATGCCATAACCACAAACACAATAGTAATGTAAATATAAGTTGTAGGATCCATATGCTGTCTCAAGGTTACCCTTCTAATAACATAAGCCATAGGAGAAAATAATAATTGAATACTGCTATGCAAAAAAACATGGAAAGGAAATAAATTACAGATTTTACAATTGTTGGTTTGAACAGAGGCAGAAGTGTATTTTATTTTATTTTTTTCAATGAGGCAAGAACAGTATTGATCAAGAAGCATTACAATCGACATTCAGATAATCCAGCAACCGTAATGAATGCTGAGTGAGATTTGCATCCGTTTATAGAGTTGCAAACCATTCAATTACACAATTGAACCAAAATTATCAACAAAAGTAGAAAAGAAAATATCAAAATAAGCAAATAAATTCATATTACACAGTGTAGGATAAGATCCATTGTAAATTATCATACTTCTGTGTGTCTAAACGACCTCCAACAAGAAATAATTTTTCTATTTTTTAGTTTTTGATGAGCAGAATCATTTGCCTAGCTGCTTTGTATCAACAAATGAAGTTCATTGAAACTATATATACCACTGTAGTGAAAGACTTCATCTTGTGTACTTCTGGTCTTAAGACTTGTTGACCCTTAGATTCACAGATGAAAGGAAAATTAACTTGCATATTTATATGGACAGAAAAAGCAGCCACAAGAAGTCAAATATATACAAAAATTTAATTTACTTAGAAGTCATTACAAACCTTAATTCATACTCTTATATAGTAAATTACGAACTATTTTCTTGATTATAAATGTGTTCCTATATATATATATATATAATCCATTTCTCATATATGGAGCTGCTTTTGCATAGGTAAGAAAATATGACTCTTCTTCATTCAAATTTGCACATCCAATAATCAAAGAGTCTAAATCTTATTTAATAAACACCTTTGACTAATTCAAAGCTACAACAAAATTTGAAGCAAGCACCAACACAAATCACCCATTACTATACTGTAGCTACTTGACAAAACATATACAATTAAAGCAAATTAATTCCAAACTAACTGCCACCATTAGACAAATGAACACAGGGCAACAGCACAGCCAGAGGCCCCATTTCATACCAAACTAATTGAGACACACACACACACACACACATATATCAGAAATCCATCAAACATATAAATGCAAAACCATACCCCTTTCTCCTTGAATAAACATCTACATTTAAAACATTTGATATTTCTAATAAGATAGCTTCAATTGACAATCATGCCATTAGCAGCAAACACAAAAATTTCTAACTGTTTGTTCTTAGTTCATATATGCATATATGGCAGCAAAGAAAACACACATCAAGTAACATCATACTCCTGAAATTTTTAACAGTACCAGCTAGCTAGAGTGTAAATCGATCAAGCAATTAAGATCTACCTTAAATATTGAATACATCCTTCACACGTTTCATATTTGTGGTGGTGGAGTAGGGGGCCGGCACGCCACAAAACTCGATCGGTGCAGAGAGAGTTGAGAAGTTCATCTTCGGGATCACCATTTTCAGAATACCCATCTTAATGGTGGCCTTGATTTCGTCGAGTTTGTAAATACCCCGAGGAAGATCAATCACCCCAGAGTATGCCCTCACTGCCATATCGTTCTCATCTTCATCTTCTTTCTTTGTCTTCCCTTCGATGTGGATTGAATTTTTTTTGACGTTAACATCCAGCCCTTCTTTCCCGATTCCGGGCATGTCAATCCTTACTATTGCCTCTCGCTGGTATTCTATTACATTGCACATCGTACAAAAACCTTGATTCAGAAACGGATGTTTCATCGGAGCTATCACTGTCATCCGTAGAGCTATATATATACATACACATATAGAAATGAACCAAAAATCAGTAGACAAAATCACTATGTAGATTCACGAAGAGATAAAACCAAAACACAGTTAGGAAAATCAAAATAGAAACAGATTCAGAGAGCGATTGAATACGAGTCATTGCCACTTCCTCGGGAGCGATGGCCGGAGGAGCTGAAAGAGTGATGGTGGCCGGCGAAAGGAGAGGCGGCCACCGTGAACGACCGTTTAGATCGGAAAAGCTTTGCGACGGTGAGACATCTGGAGGCCATTGATATGAACCGTGAATGAAAATGTTGTGTATGTTTCTCTCTCTTCCTCTTTCACTCTCTAGGGTTTTCAGGGGGTTTTGAAAACATAGGAAAGAAAAGAAAGGAAAGGAAAGGATTACGAGAGAAATGAAAAGAAAAGAAAGGAAATGATAGTTATAATGTTTGGATTGATAAAAAAGAAAAGGAAGAAATTGATAATATTGTTGTTTGGATAAGATAAATGAGAGAAAACAAAAAAATTGATAATAATAAAATTACTATCTTATCCTTTCTTTTTAAGGTTAGAGGGTAAAATTAAATCAGCCTCCTCCATCTCTCCATTCTCATTCTCACTCCCCCTCACTGTCTCTCTCTCTCTCCTCTCCCTTACTGCAAACTACAGAATATACAAAAAAATTAGAAGATCAAAACCATATTTCCATAATTGTTGATTTCACTGTTGTTGATTGGGCATCATCTTCTTCGATTACTGGCAAACAAGGCTGTAGATTCATCTTCCTCCTCCGCGGCAACTGAGAAACCTGTTAGCGAAGAACCCGAAGCTTACCACATTTGAACCCTAGCTTCAGTCCTCGGTAGGTTTTAATCTCTCTCTATATATGGGTTTTATTTTAATTTTTTTTTTTTTTTTTTTCTAAAATCAACTAATCAAGGTCTGTAATCAACTTCCGGCGACTTTTTCGACGATCTCTGCAATTTCCGGCGACTTTTTTGACGATCTCTGCAACTTCTGGCGACTTTTCCGGATGGGCTCCAAACGTCATTTGCTCCCTTTCTCTCCAAATCCCTCCAAATCTTATCAATTTTGGAGAGATTTGGTTTTACTGTTTTGGAGGGATAGGCTATCCTTCCAAATCATTTCTTTTCTCTCCAAAACCCTCCATCCAAACACACCTATCCCTATCCTTCTCTTTCTTTTCTCTCCAAAACCCTCTAAATCCCTCAATTCAAACGAGGCCGAAGTGAATTGAGAGGGCGATTGTGAGTGGAAACGTTTTACAAGGAGGAAGGGAACAGAGGCAGGCATGTGTCCATTAGACAACAACCAAAACATATTTTTAAAGATAAACCAATTCATAAAAATAAATAAATAAAAAATACTTCAAATTGCAGTTTAATGTTCCCAGCATGAATACAAATACGAACACGAATACTTCAAAAAAAAAAAAAAGAAAGTAGAATATAAATACGACGTGACACGATTACATATAAATATAATTTTTTATTTTTATACATTTATTTAATAATATTATAAAACTTTAATTCATTTATAATTTTTATACAATTGCTCGGAAATAAATTAAAAAATAAAAATATGTCATTATTGTAATGATTTTTGTATCATATATATCATTATTTTATTATTTTGTAATGTTAGTATTTATATTATTTTCACGATTAGCAGGTAAGTGTCCAAAAAGTGTCGAGAAGTGTCAACAAAGTGTTCGAAATAATAAAATTAATTTTAGTTTATTAGGTACGACTCTTTCGTAGAACTGTCCATGCTTCCTAGTGTTTAACCAACTAATCTGTTCATTTATTTTATACAATATCCTTTATATTTATCCAAGTAATTGAACTGGTTTTTTAATTTGATTTCTCGGATATCAAATTACTAATTTAATTTTGTGTTTTTAACAATGTTATTTTACCATATGAAGATTTCTTTGGTTGGTTCATTCTATCTGACTTCACATTTAAATAATTGATAAACTAACTTCATTTTTTTTTGTTCGACTTCAGAATATACCTGCTCAAGAGGAAGATTGACAATAAAAACTACACCACAAATAGCCAAGGAACCCTTGTTTGGTTTGTAATTCTAAAAATAGTTTTCAAGAATTATAAAAGACAGTTATCTGTAAACAAATTTTTTTATAATTGAGTTTTTAGAAATTTTGTACAATTTAACTATTATCAGAGTTACAAACCATGCAGGTCTCAAAAGTTGCAATTGAATTGCAGTCTTTGCAGACAAACTTTGCAAAGAAGCCGAATCTTGTCCAAAAAACTCCTATTTATCTAACACACTGATATCCCACATAATATTATTTGTTGTGTATGAATCACCGAAATTATAACTAGAATTATCTCTTAAAACAAAAAGTTGTTTATGAATGCAGAAAGCCTGAAACCTGCATTTGTTTATAGAGTTGTAGAACATTCAACTACACAGTTTACAGTTAGTCCAAAAAATCAGCAAATATACAAAAGAAATATCAAAATAAGCAAACAAATCATTTTACTACACGACCTCCAACAAGAAATAATTTTACCATTTTGTAATTTTTGCTTATGAATCATTTTCATAGTTGCCCTTATCAACAAATGTAGTTCACTTTATTTTGACTTTTGAAAAATTAAAATAATATTAATAACAATATTATAATGTAATTCACTGATGAAACCATACTAGTGAAATCCTCATCCTGTGTGCTATTCAACACAGCCAAAGGTATGAATGAGTTAAATGTTCAAACTCTTTAACAGCCGGTGTATATTTAAATTTAAACAACAAATATTAATTACATCAATTAACAGTCAAGACACATAAGAAAGAGCAGTAAATCACAACTAAATTTACTTATAATAGCAAAATCAAAACTAAAAGCATACTCCATTGAATATTATGGCATTCAGAAAAATGTTCTTGTCAACTAAAAGACACATAAAAAGTTGAAAATCGGTTACTTTCACAAATTTCTAAATAACAACCAATTCACACATTACTTCTTTTTCTTCTCCTTTTTGCCCTTGGTATTCTTCTCCTTATTACCCTCCGCGTTCGGAACCATCAGCCTGAGAATTCCATTATTCATCTGGAACTTTACCCCATCAGCCCTTTGCTCATCGGGATTGAATTCGAGACTGCCAACATACCTCCTCCCACAATCATCCTTCTCGTATTCAATTTCTCCTTCGCCTTGGAAGAACACAGTGTGATTCTCTGTCCAAACCTTTATTCCGTTAACGCCAACACCAGGCAACGACATCCTCACAAGTACACCCTCCTTCACATCATTCACCTCCACCGCATTTCCCGGTCCACCGCATTGAAATGGATTTTCCATCTCAACTTCCTGAACTGGAACTGCAATCATAACTGTAGCAAAACAAACACCCCCGAATTGAATTAGAAATTCAGAGTTGTGCACTACAATAACAGGGTTGAAAGTTAAAATTGGATGATTACAAAATGGGTTTTATTTAAAATATAGAAATCATAAGTAGAACTATGGCAAGTAGAAATGACTAGAATAACTGTAAGAAATAAGATTGAAGACCAAAAAAGATTGAAGACTAAAATTTGCGTTAATTTTTTTTTTTTTTTTTACTTAAAACTATAAGTAGAATAAGAAAAGGATTGAAATTATGAGTAGAATTATAGCAAGTAAAACTATGAGTACAATAACTTTAATAAAAAAGATGAAACCAAAATTGAAGTAAAAAATAAGATTTGGGTAGAACAGTGTTGATAACTAAAATTGAGAACCAAAAGAGATGAATTTTGCTTAAAATTATATGTAGAACAAGAAAAAGATCACTAGGACTACCATTTGGATCCTTGGGTTTGACGTTGCCAGGAGAGGAGTCCTCGGTGGCGGCGGTGGTGGAGGTGCATGATCGAGCGGCGGCAAAGCCAGCTATGATGGCGGATGGGGCTTTAGGGTTGAGGAATTGGATTGAAGCGGTGGCGGCTCTTCTCATAGCCATTGATGAAGTCACTTTTGAGTAAAAGTCAAAATGTTCGGTACAATAAGTATAGTGCGATTAATTAACGTTAAGTTATGGTATGTGTATGTTTGGCGTCCACGACAAACCAATGTTAAATTGAGCAGGTTGGGGGCGCAATTGGGCTCAACCCAAAACATGAAATCCTCAATCATAAGTTCATAATATAGTCTAACCCGATGATCAGTGTATATATATGTGTGTGTGTGTGTGTATGTGTGAATTCTTCTTCTTTTTTTTCTTTTTTTTTTTTTTTCAATTTCTTTTATTACATAACACGTAATATATAAAATAAAGACAAATGAACACTAACCTTGTCCTAGATGATTTCTTTCCCCCTTTTTTTCTGTTCTTTTCTCAATTATATATAACCAATTTTTTCTTTTTCTTTTTTCTTTTTGGATAAAGTTATGCCACTACCCAGTCTACCCTTCTCATCATCGTTGCTGCCTTCGAGTGGTCCTCTCCTTGTCTCCTCCTCTACTTTGCGAGCGTTAGTGCAAGCCCTATCGGCTATATAGCTCTGAGTCTGCAGAGTAAAAGTCATTACTAGACATGCCACGTTGTTTTTGTCAAACTCATTTTTCTTGTCTTTATTATATATTTACAATTATAAAAAACCATATTTAAAAGTATATATTTATATATATATGTAACGAATATATTTACATAATTTTTGTGTGAATTCATACCTTAACAGCAAATATGATTTGGTAAGTGATACAGCACGTGATATATATATATCTATATAAATAGTTAAAGGATATTTTTATCTTAAAATTTAAAATTTTAATATATGAACGACTTATTAATTACAAGTGGTATAATTGATACGGGCTCATTTATTGTTCTAATATTGAGTCGTTCCTTTTTCATCTTGGTGCACTAAACCCCCTCTAATTTTAAGGGGTTGCACAAAACCCCCTTCTTCTTTTTATTTATTTATTTTTGGATCAATAAATATTCATAATTTACAAAGTTTTAAAAATTACTCTTTTGACACTTTTTGGTTGACTGACAATTAACTGAGGTTAAGATATAGTGTAAAATTATATAAATACATATGCATAAGGAAATAGGGAAAAGAAAATTTATGGGTTTTTTTTTGCCCCAAAAGAAAGGAGAAGGGGATATTATGCAATCCCTTGACACCAAAGGGGGTTTTAGTACATTAAGGCCTTACATTTTTAGTACACTTCTTTTTTCTTTTCTTTTTTTTTTTTTTCTACTTTTTAATTTTTTTAATGTAATTAATTAATAAAACTAAAATTTTGATTCAATATTTTGATTTTATTTATCTCGATGTAATATATTACATAAGGCATTTGATTGGAATTGTGTTTCATATGCTATTGTTAAACAGATGGATTATTTTCAATTTGGATTTAGAATGTACATAATATTCCATTGCACTCAGGGAATCTTGATGCCTATGTCATGGGATTGAGCTCGAGAAAGTGTAATTTATTGCTTTCTTAATATGGACCTTAGGTGCAATCAGGAAACTCAGTCATTAACATTGCATACATATTGTCATACATGTATGGTTCATTTTTAATCTAAAGTTTTTGTTTTAAAAATCTCAATTATCTACATCCAACTTATATTATTAAAATACTAATAACACAAGTTTAATTCTGTTATTTTTATTTTCATTTTTTTTTATTTTTTAGATTGGCAAGAAACACAAATCACATTAATATAAATTTTTTGTTTACACTCGGACTCGAATCCTTTCTTAGAATAGAGATGTTATGTGTTTGTCAATTAAAATACTAATAATTATTATTTTTATGATATGAATAAAGAGTATTTAGAAACTAGTGTGCAATTTGGTCAGGGATGAATTACTAATAGTGAGAATTCATATTTCTTTTTTGTACTTTTTGCAAAATTTCAAGTTCATACGTGGTAATTTTTGTTTGTAATGGCTGTATTTTTTATTTTTTATTTTGTAATGGCTATTTGGTTTTTGAATTTATTGCTAACCTTTTATGCTGCATTTCCTTGTTGGGCCACTTTTTAGTGGTATGCAGGTTCAATTATTGTTGGGCCTATATGTAAGTCCAGTTACTCTGTTAGTGTTATTCTTTATATACTCCAATTCATTGGGATCTCTCTTTTTTTTTTCCTTGGCAAATAGGTTCCAATTCATTTACAGTTTTGGAAAGGATTGGCATCTTGGGCTCCATTTATTTGAGAGTAAAATAATTTAAATTTTTTTTTTTTTTTTTTTGGCCTTTGGCGGACCTGGCACGTACCATGGTTGCCAAATCAAACTCTGTTTAAGTGAAAGCAAAGTTTTATGACCTCAGTAATGGCCTTCACTCTGGAGACTCAGAGCTGTAATTAATTGTCTGTGCCAAACTATTACTAGTACTTAACCGATATTTGCAAATTCATTTCTCGAAAAAAAATAAAAATAAAAATTAAACAAGTTTAAAATAAAATTGAACCAAACACGTCAAGCATTCCCATCCATCAATCAAGTAGACTATTCATTTCATCAACTCTCATTTAATTTCAACCACAGAGGAGCAAAAGTAATACTCGTACATTACTACTCAAACAAAAACCGAATTTGTAATGCAAAATTACATTTTCTTTTGATTTGATTAAATCCCATATTTCTTCCCCCCCTTTTTTTTTTCTGAGAAACTAAACATTTTCACTCTTTTTTTTACGAAACAAAAATAAATTTGTTTCCACATCACCATTGATCCATGTAACCATCAACCTGAGAATGTATCTTCTTCATCCCGGTGCTTCTCGAGCCGGCCAAAGTGGATCTTGTTGCAGTACCTCCTGCAGTAGTCATCTTCCTTGGCGAGGAGGCCGGGAAAGTTGCCCCTGGCGGATATCACCGGCAGTGAAGAAGAATGCAGTGGAAGCATTTTCACTTCTGTTGATTCAGCTGATTTAGTGTCTCTGATCAGCAGATTTGGACCCATGTAGGGTCTCTTCAGAGCCAAAAAAAAAGACATTCCTGTTTCAAGTTTCAAATTTTCAATCCACTATTGATCGACTCAAAGGCTCTGCGTGTGTGTGTCTGTATATATCTATATAGTATACACAATGAAATAAACTTATCTGGTCTCTCTGTGGTACTGAGAGAGATCTTTATCGGAGCAAATTGAAGAGAGGGTACGTGTCACCATTGCATTGAATATTCTCTAGTATGGCAGAGGACTGTAACTACTTTTAATTTCTGGCGGTCGTCTGATACTGATTTGATTTTAATGTGATCATAGTTAATGATGAATCACATTCACAGTTGATTCTGAAAACACTTAAGAAGTAGGGATTGATGATTATTGTACTTAGATAACTGAGCAGATCGAGCACAGTTTTCAATGATGAACCACATTGGATGCTAATACTACTTTATGAATGTATTGTTGATATGTAAATAAGTTGAAATTTGTTTTGTTTTTACATTGGTCATATATATATATATATATATATATTGAATACTCAATGACATGTCTTTAAACTTTATAATTGGAAATTTTGAATTCATTCATACAGTATAACTATAACTAATGGTTTTTTTTTAAAAGAGAAAAAGAACAAGAGGGAGGGAGGGAGGGAGGGAGCTCAGAATCAACAGCACTAAGCAGCCAAGAAGGCCATACTGTCCAGTCGAAATCGCCATGTTTGGACGTTAAAGCCCATTGGCTTAGAAATCCATAAAAAGCTTGACCTCAGTGAAGAAACATAAGGATGGCTAAAAGCTTCAACTATAACTAATGTTTCAGGTAAGACTTGACGTCATATCTTTTTAAGCAAAGATCCATCATAATATATTTACATAAAATGACGAATAATTATTATTTTAGGGTTTATATTTTGCAATAATCCATGCTGTCATTTGTGGAGATTCTGGAGAATGTGTGATTCTTTACATATTTAATTTATACATATAAAAAAATATGATGCAGCTATGTATCAAAATTAAAATCTAGCTAAATCTGAATTTGATCATTAAACATGGAACCTTAATGTATGCTGTCAATGCACAAATTATTTTCCACTTTACACATCATTTGCATATCCTAATTCATAAAATGATAATAAGGACCACATATTACCCAAATCAAATAGACTATTCACTTTTCTATGGTCCCAAGTAGCAACAACTTAAAAGAACCAAGCACCAAAAAGCAAATGATGGCACAACCATAAAGCAAATGATGCAACTATGCATACCAAATCAAAATGTGTACCCGAGTGTAATCACTGCTGCACATCATCAGCAGATAGCAGAACTCTTAAATTGTTCTTTTCTGGCCAACATCCGAAGCACTCCTGCTTTCGTTTCAGTTTTGATATCAGTGATCTTGCAGCAATCGCAATTAAGATGGAAGCGGCCAAAATACCTCCTCCTTTCATCACGCCCAGCTTCATCACTGTCACGAGCAAAAAACACTGCTCTGTTGTTAAACTTAAGGTTCAGTCCTTGCAGGCTGACACCGCGCATGTCTTCCCTTAAGAAGAGATTGTCACCGTCCACAATCCTCGCCTCATAGGCTCCATTAATTCCCCCTCTTGGAATGGATAATAGCATATGTATTTATCTGTATAAAAAACAAAAACAACAAAAACATTTGGATTATACACACAAAAACTATGAGCTAAAACAAAGAACAAACTAGAAATCAGACCAGAAGGGCTAAGAAGCAGAAATTCCTTATCACAGATAAGATGGTCCCGGATGCAACTCCAACCAGCAGGGAATTCAAGATTGTCATTGGAAAATTTGGTGATCGTCGTGGAGGAGAAGTTTGGGCGGAAGCCCCAAGCATCCAAGACCTGCATGCAGTCATGGAGAGAGGTTAGATGTTGTGAACTTCAATTGAGTTAATCAATTAAAAAAATAGATCAGTTGGGGAACAAGGTTGACATCAACCACAAGGATTCAGTCACAAGGGAGGTTTCACCTGTCCATAACTTAGTGTCAATGCAGTCACAAAAATGAGGTTACATGACCCAATAACAAGATTCTGCATTCCTTTGTGAATATTTATAGACACACACACAAAACACTATATCAAGTTGAAATTCTATTTAGTCCAAGACATTGTCAAGGATCAATAAACATAGAAACGTAATAAAAATGAAATAGAACATATCTAGATTACACTGTACAAGAAGTATCAATGGTTATCTTACATATATATAGGCTATCTTCTAGTTTTGTTGATCAAGACAAGTTCTCCAGTGAATTACCAAAAATTTAAAAAGATTAGTTCTCCACTGTCACTGATGTTCTGATGGTCATACTCAAATTTCATGGGTTCACTACAATATTCCTAACCACATTAGAGGCTTAAATGAAGTGTTTGCAGCTTAAATAAGAGTAATGAGAAAGAATCATATAATGCCCAACAAATTGAAGCTATGAACAAAATTAAGAAATAAATGGATTTTACCTAGATAAAGCATGATTATGTCTGATGAGGTCATATACTCACAGCATTACTGAGCATTCACAACTTACTGTAAATCAAGAGTTTCTGAAGCAATTTGGAGAGGGCGCTAATTTCTTAGTTGGAAACAAATATGCCCACAAATAATGAAAAAAAAAAAATTAAAAAGTTCAAGGTTTAGTAAACAACTAGCATGTGGCCTTACAGCACATAAAATACACAGCCAGACATTTTGGTTGCTTATCTGTACAAAGCAACTATAATAAATAATAGAACACAATTTTGCTTAATAATAAGTTTTTATTTTTTACATAACTATTTTAAGCACACTCTATCTACTGGATTTTGGAAACCTCTTTTAAATAATAACAAGCTAAAATCTTTTATGTGGTGACTTGAAGTTTGAATTTATTGATTCATTTCATCAAATAATTGTTTCAAAAACATTTGGCAACAATTCAGGGGAGAAAAAAAAAAAAAAAAAAAACATTTGGCAACATAATAGTAGATTCAATTTCATTAGAACAATGTATCACTGGTGAGTTGATTAAGCATGCAAATTTTAATGATAAAATATATATATTAGTTGAAGGACTCAAATTTCTAACGTAATCAACCAAATTGTGAATGTGTTTCTGTATATCTATTGAGTACTCTCAGAATCCAATAATGAAGTTGTTGTTTAGTAGTGAAACAACAATAATTCTTCATATAGTAAATAAAATGAATAAAACGAGAAAGGAAAAATGACACAGGTATACGATCTCATATCACTAATGATAACCTATAATAAATTGCCTCAGACGAAGAATGGAAATATCAGTACTATTCTAATGAAGATGACAGTTCTATATCGAGAATTTGTTTTTAATCAATGAAACCACACAAAGCACAATATATCCCCAGGCCAGTTCAACATTAATAGCACATATTTCCCATATGTATTTATCATCAAATATTACAAATTCCGTTTGACACTCCCTAGGATGGAAGATAAAACACATATTTTCCCCATCAAAAAATGAGTTTAACACCTATAACAACAATCAAATTTAGAGTATTTACCAACAAATTTTACAATTGCTTTGGACACTCCCTCGTAAGGACGATACACCACATATTTCCTAGATCAAAAAATGAGTTTAACACCTAAAATAACAATCAAATTTTACAGATTCATGGGGAAAGCAAGGCTACAAACTTAACTATTAGGATCAAATTTCACTTGCTAAAACTAACAACTAACCTCACATTCCAGCATATTGATCTCATATATTCTTCATTAGGCCTACAGTCAGTAACATACATATTATCAATCCTCTTCTCAATATTTCGGAGGATCTTATATTTAGGAACAAAGACATTTTAGCTGCAAATACCATGTCAATCACGATGCTACCCTGCAACTATTTTTCTATATAAACTTCTATCAGAATTCATATTTACATGCATATACACACATATATGCAAATCAATAAGACAATAAGTGGAAATTCATGCATCTAAATCAAAATACAAAAATGGAGATTCATACATACACACGCATATATTCCACAGAATTCATATTTACATGCATACACATATATATTCAAATCAATAAGACAATAAGGGGAAATTCATCCATCTAAATCAACATATAGAAGTGGAGTTTCGTACATATAATATACAAACATATGTAAATCTGTCCCAAAATATTCAAATCAGGAATTAATTAAATTAATTACCATTGTTAAGACACCATTCTTCATATCCTTTTGAAGAATACCAGCGTTCTTCCCAGATTGGGGGAGAAGATCTATGCTCCCACAGTATAACCTGATGTAGATTTCTTCCTCCCATTCTTTCCGGGCTTCACCTTTGCCGAAAACGGTGTCGTTCTCAAGCGATACCTCCACGTCCTCTTCCTCAACCACAGGCATGTCCACTCTCACATATAAACCCTCCTCCACTGCTTTAGCCTCAAACCCCTCTATCGGGCCTAAAAAATGATGAGGGTTCTTAACATAAACACCCTCTAAACAGTGAACACAAAAATTGAACAAATTTTAAACACAATGCAATATTTATTCAAACAATCACCGATGAATTAAAAGAGCTTTCTCAGGAGTACAAGTTTTTGAGTGTGTGAAAAACAAAAATGTTGTGGCTAAGATGATATGTATGAAACAGAGTTAGTGATACTGAAGCAAAAGTGCTTTCTCTGGATGATATGTATGCGTGTGTGTATATTTTATATACACATTTGAGAAGGTGAACAATCGTAACCCACAACAAAAATAGTTGTGGGTAAGATCAGAAAACAACAAATCACAACAGAAATGTAAAACAGAGTTAGTGGTAGCGAATGAAATGAGTTTTCTCTGGATGATATGTGTGTGTACACATTTGAGAAGTTGAACGATCGTACCCACAAGGTGGTTGCAGGCGGCGACCCTGTCAGGACTTTCGGTGGGAGCGGTGGTGTACAAAAAGTCGGTGGTGGTGGTGGTGGCTGCTCGAAGCCATTGATGTATAGAGAGAGGGAGTGAATTCAAGAAGGGTTTAAGGAGGGTTTACAATATAGGTTAGCTATTACTGCTGAGACATTGAGAGTTATTGATCTCTGGATAGATTAATAAATTACCTAGGTAATTAATTTGTAGTTAAAACTGGGATTATAACATGGCTTTGGCGAAAAAAAGAAAAGGCAGCAAAATGGCCCAAGTCTTCTGAGGTCTCCTTCTGAGGTTGACATTCCACGTGTCGCTTGGGAATTTGTCCTTATTTTTGCCCAGCTGTCATGTGCTGGTGAAAAGTAATTTTGAAGTGTTCGCTGTACGGTAGGTGGTACATACTTCAGACTCCGTAACTCATAAGATATCGACCGTTAATATGTTTTTTCCCAGCTGTTATGTTTTGGTCTTTGATAAGTATTTTGTTCCGGTAAATAATTAGAAATTTGGAACATTTAGGGTTTGAATTGTGGTCTAGCAAAAAGGTTAGGAGTTAGCACATGAAATATATATAATTAAGCATTGAAGATAAATGGTGGCATGCTCGTTAGTTGATATATTATTTAAATCAACATTGTGTATTAAAAACTTGTTTGAAATAATGAAAAGACTATTTCTTCTGCTAATTTTTTATTCGGTTACTATTGTACTTTTAACCTCCTCTTTAAAAAGGTAGAGTTTATACTATTTAAGATATAAAATAATAATTATATTGCTTTAAAGTGTGTAACATTATTTCGAAACTTGTTTAATAACATAAATTTGCTGCAAAATTTACTATTGTACTTTCAACCTCCTTTTTAAAAAGGTAGAGTTTATACTATTTAAGATATAAAATAATAATTACAATTGCTTTAAAGTGTGTAACATTATTTCGAAAATAATTGTTTACAGTGCTTTGCTAAAGCAAACAATTTGATACTTTTAATTTTGACCTCAATATTGAAAACACTTTTATACTATTCAAATGACAATAAACATTACCAAACATGTTTTATGTTTTTATTTTGCTACATTAAACTAAAACTAACATAAGTAAAAAAAACAAGAAGCAAAAACATTAGTCAAAGAGGCATATGTAATGGTAACTAGGGAAAAAATGACCAAAAATATTTGATAAGATTCTCATTAGGCTTTAGATTTCATTAATTTTGAAAAGCATTGATCACCTTTTATAATTAGAACAACCCCGAATACAAATCCCAATTTCCTCTCGTAGAGTCTGATTCGGATTGCTTTTCAGCTCTTAGAGTACTAGTATAAGTCTGAACTAGATGTACTTTGTTATTTTATTTTTTTTATAATAATAGAGCCTCCAAATGTTGTTATTGGTATCTGAAGTACTTGATGAGATGATCCATCTTAAATAATCCAACAGGACTTCAAACCCCACAAGATCCAATTCTGGGGTGAAAAAGACCAGAAGTGCAAGCATGGTCCCCTTTACAAGTAAATTTAAATAACTCGACAATTTTTCATTTGATAAATAAGATGACTCAAATTATCTGAATCAATAAAATCCACATATTTCTTATTTTACAACTCACATTACATCTAAATCGTATTTTTATTCGATTTCTAATTATAATTCAACCATATACCCTAAAGTCCAAACACTCTTGGTGCATTGATGGCATGACCTCAATTGGGCATCAAAAAAACCCAATCAACTCAATTACATAAATAGACATTATTGTTGCATTACATAAATTGTATTTAAAATTGATAAAAAAAAAAATTAGTTCAAAATTTCCATTTAGTGCTCAATCCCAAAACTCATTGTTCCATTAATCCAAGCAAGTGATCATTATTTGGACTATTTGAAAAGAGTTGAAAAGAAGAGAGAAAAATTGTAAATCCAAGTGAATTCCTTCATCTTTACATCAAAATTCAGTTAGACACTACTACTACACTTAGAAAGATCAACTACAAATTCTGCTTTCATCAAAAGAAGCCTACAAATTCTGTTTTTATCAAAAGAAGCCTAAAACAAGAGGTGACGTATGGACCGACTACACACCGAAAACATACCATTACCATTCTCGCCTCCTGAATCAATCGACCTTAACCTGAACCACGTCCTTCCTGTCCTTGTTATCGTGTTTGGGCACTTTGGGAATCTTAACTTTCAAAACTCCATTCTTCATCTTAGCCTGGATTTGTTCGGTGTTATAGATATTGGAAGGGATATGGAAAGTAGGAGGGCGATAGATCCTGCTGGAGTAGCCGGGCCCATACTTTTCGTCTTCCGCCGATTCCTTCCCGCACTCTCCTTTGATGCTCAGACTCTCCATCTCCATTGATATCTTCACGTTTTTTTTGCTGAGACCAGGCATGTCCATTCTCAGATACATTGCTTTTTCATCCTGGTTCATGTCGATGCTTCTTCTTGCAGAAAGTGGATCAAACGTACCATCTGATGTAACATCAACCAATTTCAATTCACACAACCGTACTACCAATTCATAACTCAACTCAAAACTAACAAATCTGAGACTTAAATCACAACAAAATTAAGCACAAATCGAACAAGTAGAGTTCAAAATCAATGTCAAATCAATAATCGAATCAATAACAACGATAAAACAACCACAAACCGAAGCAAGCAGAATGGAGAAAACGAATTAGAAAAATGGCGATCGAGAAATACACAGATCAAGCTATTGAATCACAATCGAAGATGCGGATAAGCAAAAAAAAAAAAAAAGAAGCTCGTAATTAGGAACAAATCGCTGAAAGATAGAGATCGAAAACGAGTACCAGAGTCGGTGTTGATGTTCCAGTATTCGTAGTCCTCGTCGTATTCGTCGTATACGGTCATGACCTTGGTGTTGAAGGAACGAAGAGCGGCAACGGAAGCAGAGCGAATAGGGTTGGCAAGCTTGTTGAAGCGAATTAAACCACCTGTGACCCTCCTCAGAGCAAGTAACGAAGCCATCACAATCAATTCACACAGCTTCTGGTATGATTAGACATAGTTTCTGATTTCTATATTTATATAGGGCGTGAGTGGCGTGGAGAAGGGGAAAGGAAAAGAGGGGGAGAGAATGTGTAGAAAGTGTATTTTATTATTAACTTTATTTTTTTCTAAAAAAATTTGAAAAAATCCTGAACTATAAAAAAATTGCTATGGTTCGCGGAATTCAATAATAAGAAATACATTATTTTTATTATTATTATTTTTTTTGGTTAAGTTCAGGTCAAAAAAGTATGAGGGGCAATGCTGGTATTTTGCATAGGGATAATTTGTTACATATTTTTTTAATAATTTAATACTGGGGTTATAATTGTAATTATGAATGTCTGACCACGGAAAAGTGGTATTCGGACAGCTTCAGGGGACATGCTCCAAAAATTATCTCAGGGGCTATTTTAGCAACTTTTTTTTTATATACCACGGATTTTTCAAACTTTTGCCTTTATTTTTTTGGATTAGAACAATTAACATATTCCACTTGATCTCAATTAATTAACGTTGTGATGGATTCAAAAAGGGTTTAGGGAGGGTTTACAATGTTGGTTAGCTCAGTTCGAGAGAGAGAGAGAGAGAGAGAGAGAGAGATGTGATGGATTCAAAAAGGGTTTAGGGAGGGTTTACAATGTTGGTTAGCTCAGTTCGAGAGAGAGAGAGAGGGTTTACAATGTTGGTTAGCTCAGTTCGAGAGAGAGAGAGAGAGAGAGAGAGAGAGAGAGAGAGAGAGAGTGGAGCATTATTTTTTTTCCCTTATAAATTAAAGGGTAAATTGCATTGACACCACTTAAAGTTTTGATCAATGTCACTTAGATGTCAAGAGCTTTTTAACAATGACACCCGTATGGTTTCAAATGTCATATTTGCCCTTAATTATTTAATTCAATTAAGGACAAATTACACAAAGAATCCCTCAAGTTGTCAACTTGTACATATAGATAGAAAATAGCCACAATATAACAGAAAGACCCAAATTAATTGTTTGTGGTTAGTAGATTGATATGAATTTATATTTTTGTCCTTAGAGTTAAACTATTTGTTTAATGAAAAAATTTAAATTTTTTTGTGTATTGTTAAAGTTATGATTTTGCCCCTAAGACTCCATCACAGCTAACACAGACCAAATTGCAAAAACTACAAAATTATCTGCCACAAAACCAATCACAGACCCAAATTCAACCATAGAACCACAAAACCAATCATAGACCCAAATCTAACCACAGAGCCACATATCATTCCGACCTCATCACAATTGAGTGGCCCGAGTCCTCTGTTCCATGCTCGTCAGTCCGTCACAGCCATCACCACACAACTCTCCACCGTCCAAGCTCATTCCCTCCTCCATCACAGCCGACATCCACCACAACCAAGCTTATCTCATCCGACCTCGCCGCCGCCTTCATCATAGCCGACATCGGCTGAGCCCATCAAAGCCGAGTTCGCCGCCATCTTCTCTCTCATCCAATCTCTCCCTCTGCACAGACCCATCCGGCATAACATTCAGGATTGGAGCGAAAAACGAATTACAAATGTTACTTCTGTGAAGTCCCACAATGGACCTCAATTATAAAGCTATGGTCACTGAACTGTCTATCGTCCCCGCTGTCCCCATCGCTCCACCATCCGAGCTCTCTGCCATCGATCTTTCCGAGCATCACTGCGAGTCATTCACGGACACCTCCGGCGAGATTGAACTGGCCAAAAAGGACTCAGATAGCACTGCGAAGATGGAGGAGGTGTGTGATACCCCCGGATTTCCGGATGCAGGTTGGCCAGGCCCACGCCCGATTACCTGAGGATATCAAATCAATTAGCAATAATCGAACACAGAATATAATTAAAACAAACGAGATAAATAAAATTTGCTGAAAAGAAACTAGAATGATAATCCAAAAATCTCAGAATAAAATTTTATTAATAAATAAACTATTCTGTTACAACTGATCATCTACGAATACAAATCATTCTCCAAATTATACAACTCGGGAATTCATCTAGTGGACCCCTAAAATATCCTACTGTACTCAGATGACTGGAAATAAAACCAAAGCCTAAAACAAGAAACAAAGTCCTATAGCATCGGTGGAGTGAATGACTGTATTTGCTCAGCATGATCCAGCTCTAAGATTGGAGCTAACGAACACCTGTAAAAATAAGAGTGGGTCAGGCCCACATGCAAATTCTTCTCTAACTATAATCCAAATAGTGACCCGATACGCAGATACACCCTAGATATCTCAACAATAGCTATCTAGTCCGTAATAGATAAATATATATCCACACTACAGGACTCTTACTAGACTATGCTGATGGTCTTAACCTGAATAGAAGACAACATGCAATACGCACCTGAGTGGGCATGATTACCTAAGCCTAACAGGGTATACCTCAACCAACATAGCTAGCTACGCATCCTACTGCATATACGCTCCCTAACCGTCGACTATGAGATTCAAGCTCATGTCACGGTACCATAACAATATATATAAAATCCGTTCACATTCATCCATAAGAAATCCAGTAAGTCGTTCGGCGTATTCAACCGCACCGACTCATATAAATAAGGAGGATTTTATTTAACAACCCGTACCCTTATTCCAAAATAGGTAGGACTGAGTATTTTGAATCAGTCTGTGTCCAGTATGTCACCGTCTCATACCGGTGCATACAATCCACAAAATCCATATAATTGATTGAACAGATAAAACTGTTTACCAATTAAAATCCATAAGGTAGGAATTAGCGTTTTGAGCTAAACCATACCTAGTATGTCACCGTCCCATACCGGTGCATACAATCCTCCATATTCATGTAAATTACAACATATAAATAATAAGCAAGTAATTTACAATCCAAAACCAAATATCTAAATAATTGCAGAATAGTTTATGCAATGCTACAACAATTATAGTTCAAAACCATAATCCAATTAATTGTAGAATAATATATAAGATTCCACAATGAACATCCAACCCATGTAAATTACAACATATAATTAACAGTTTAGTAATTTACAATCCAAAACCATCCCAAATAATTGCAGAAGACAATTTATAGTTTCAGTAATTTAAATCCAAGTGTTAAACCGTGTATTTGCAGGAAACGGTTTAAAGGTTCAACAACTAGCATCCAAAGCATGCGTAGATCACATCTAATATATCAATGACTCTATCATGCATTAAAAATAAGTTTTTCAATCACATTATAGTCCAATAAATTGTTAAATTAATTTAAGCAATTTAATTCTCTCCATCCGGTACCCGCGTGCTAAGTTATATACTGGTATTCTGTTTAATTTGTTAGCACAGAGCCACAATAAGCTATAAGTCTAATTGTTAATTAAAAGACTCTATCATACATCTAAACTTTAATTTAGAATCATATTATAACCCCTTAAATTGTCAAATTAAAATTAGACAATAAATTTCCTTCCAGCCGTTAACCGTACGCAAAGTTGCTAAATAGCGCATAATTAATTCCATTAATACAAAGAGAGTATTTTATACAATTCAAGACCTTGACTACATATTAAATTAATTATTGAAACCCCCATTAAAGTCCTAGAATTATTCTAGAACCCCAAGTGCCTAAACAGTAGCTTAAAAAGCAATGTTCGCATCAAAAATGAAAGAGCCTGCTCCAGAAAAATAGAGCAGGCTCCAAATCAGCTTAGAGCCGGCTCTACCACCACCTTGGAGCCGGCTCTAAACAGGTGGGAGCCGACTCTTGGCATTCCAGAGCCAACTCTCTCTCCCCCTGTGAGCTACCCCTCCGTTTCAGCTTCGTTCTGACCTCTGTTCTAACTCCGGCCAGTTGCAACCTTTCTGTATGGTTTTAAAACTAATTTAAGAGTATTATTTAAGCCTAGTATCATCCCCAAGATTTGATTACAATAATTTGAAATCAATTACAGAGATTAAACAAAGCCATTAAACTAGTACGCTTGAAGAACAACACTGAAAACTAATTTAAGAAAATTTCAGTTCTCTTCCAAACCCTCTGTTCCTCTTCACCACTGAACCTAATGATCTTATATCAATCCCAATAACATCCCCATGGTTCATTTATAGAGATTAAAACAATTCCAAAGACTAAAGTTACAACGGAGCAACATGCTTATAAAACAGAAAACTAAAACGAGACATGCATGAACTGTAACAGATTGGTTTTCAACATAAACAGATCATTCATATGACATATATTAAACATATATCTTCCAGTTATTGATTGATTAAACCCTAGAGATTATCTAGGTGCACAGAACACAAGTCAAAGAGAAGGAGAAAGAGAAGAACTTACCTGTAGTTTTGGTCTCAAAACTGTGTTGTCGTCTTCCTAATTTCAGGCAACCACTGACCACCTTCAAGCCTCCTATGGTTTTGGTTTAATCCACCACAACTCTCCCTTGGCCCTCTCTGTTCTCCTCCTAAGTTTTGTTCTGTTTTCTCTCACTCAGTTCTCAAAACACTCTGTATTTTCACTTTCCCGTGAATAGGGTTATCAAACTCTAGGGAGACGTATGATATATATATTTATAGATTTTACTCAAAACCTAATTCCAATTATAAGGAGAACCAGAAATCCTAACTCAACCCTAGTTGGCCCAATGTCGACCTAATGTAAATCTCAAACAAATTAAAACAAAACCCTAGATGATAATCACACACTTAATTTGTTAAAACAGTTAAGCTCATGCTAGAAAAATAATTAATAATTACAGAAAAACAAAAATACAATTAAAGACAATAAGCCATTTAAATACAATAATTAATTATAATAACAATTTGACATATAAACATAAATTCACAAAATCAATAGACAAAAATGCACAAAGAATGAAATTTAAATCCCAATTGTATCATTTTAATTTTAGGGGTATTATAAGGTGGCAGTGCACAGCGGTGATGGTGGATGCCGTTGGGAATTTGGGACTGTTCGGGGGCGATGTACTTTGAATCGGCAAGTACATGGAATGGCGAGGCACAACATGGTTGAAGCGTCGGTGATGGCGGTTCGTAGTCACGATTCTGGTAGTGTTAAGGAACTGCGAGCAAGGTCTGATCCTCGGACCAGAGAGGATTTCGGCGGGTGAGCAAGAGGGGGCTTGGCGCTGATGGATGATTTTTCGGTGCGTGTTTAGAGAGAGAAAAGAGTGATGTGGTAGGGAAGGGATGGGGTGTACCCAGGGGCAAAAATGAAACTTCCTACTATATAATATCTTTTATTTTTTAATTTAAAATAAATACTTTAATTTTAAGGTCAAAAGTGTAAATTTATATTGATTATTTGTGGTCAAACGGT